AAAGAAAAAGTATTGACTGATGAAGATGTTGAAATTGTTATTGATTTTTTCCTCGAGATGTATATAGATCAGTTGTATAGATTTATCCAGACATCATGCTTTAAATAATTAGTGTTATCGGAGATTTTTTTAATGAATCGAACATATATTCCAGTATTTCAGTGTTGATTAATTCTGATTAAAAACTTTACAGAAAGTATACACGTCGCATTTTCCCAGTCATTGCTTAGAAATTTCTGCAATTTAATGTATGAAATTTAATACATTGACAAAACTAGATTAATTTCAATTTACTAACAATATACTATATATACAGGATTAGATGAAAAAAGTAGTATTCAGAAAGAAATGAAAGTGAATGAAGTACCAGGAAATTTCATCTGAGAATATGTAAAACTAAGACTGCATATTTACTAATATTGTGAATCGCTACATAAATATTTCAAAATTTATATGGCATTGTCAAAACTTTCATTCTCACCATTTACTTATGACTCACTTTTCTGGAGTTAATTGTTGAAATTTGAATTTGCAATAAACTCTGCAAAAAATGATGTAAAAAGGGATTAATTAGTGACAAGATATAGTAACATTATTTTTGATGAAATTAATTGGAAAGGTTTAGATTCCTTAATATCAGACAATGATATTTTGAGTCGGTTACATTGCTTTTCCTTTGTTCACACTGACTTTAAAGTTATTCCTGTCCGAATATGTGCATATTGTAATATCCCCATACTTAAAAAATCTCTCACTGATCTATTTCCTGAAGTTTTGACTGGTTTGCTCATACTTTTCAAGCTACTCATAAATCAAATGTTATTTGATTCTCATTTTTTGACAGAGGTTGAGTCGGCTAAAAGCCAAGTTGAAATAGGAAAATCAATCAAAAAAGCAAACGATCTAAGAACTGCTCTAACGAGATAAAACAACTGTTTTCGGATGGGGCACTCATTTGTAAAATTGTTTTCGTCTTTGCGCAGTTTTCACTACAACACTGCTCCAGTTTTCTTTCCGGATTTTTAGTTCAACACCTCAGTTCATTTCGTTCTTGCTCAGTATTTATTCCTTATCAAACATCTCTCTTCGATTATAATTGATTGCATTGGTTGCCATAAATGTTAAGCAGCTATAATTTTTTTTTTTTCAATCACCTTCATAGCCTTAATATTTGAAGGTTAAACTCACATTTTCAAAAATTTTTACTTCTAAAGAAAAAATGGCTGGATACTAGTATGTGGTTACTTATTCATAATTCAGTAAAATGGATGTTTTGACGGTTAGTAAAAAGACATCGATGATTACCGTGGTCACCCAAGAAGGAGTCCGTAATTTGAATAAGTTTCCTTATTTGCAATTTAAAAGACTGGGAGGCAAGTTTTACTACACTAACAGTAATTTGTCTTGCAAAATGCATCTGTTATGGGGCATAGCTACGGGAAGCGGTTAAGCCGAAAGAGATTCCTCGAAGATCTGTCACCTGAAGAAGGTTCAAGATACCAAACATATCAACTTGCCAGTCAGGTTTTAAGAATTCTATGAAATGAATAGGAGCTAAAGTGTTTCAGTAGAATTTAATTGTCGCTTCATTTTAGGTAAATTTCGGGAAGTACCATTGTGCACATTTATCTCAAAAAAGTTTGTATGTGGATGTTTTGAGAAAAAAGTGTAACGAAAAAATTATTTTCAATGTAAGCCAGCCTATGGATAGTTCTGTGCTGAATATATATTATTTTTGTTGCTATTATCATTGTTAGCAACATCCAGAGCAATAGCTGCAGAAATAAAGTAGTAGCAGACAGACTTAATTGACAGATTGTTTAGGTTTGAACAGCATCTTAGCTTCCCCTATTTCAGCGCAGCCTTTTTCGATTTGAACAGCTGTTATAAACTCCATCCCAACTTGAAATTTTTAAGTTTTAACTGAGTGAGCATTAGCTTCTTTTTCACCTTTGGTTTCCTTTCATTTTATTTCTTCCGGCTTCTTTTTACTATTGCATAAATTACTGACTCACTTCATTTTAAGATAGAATTCTTCTCATACTCATCTCATGCAACCAAAATTTAATCTCTGCATAAAGTGATGATAGTTTGGTGATATTGTGTTTATATTTAACTAAGGTGAACATTTTTGCTTTACTCTATAATTTATCTTTTATTCTACTCTCATTGCATTGCTAATGTATTCATAGCAAACTGTTCGGATGCTGAGTATAGTAAGCCTCTACAAGGAATACCGTTGGACTGCGTTCTTTTATATAGCTTCCTCAATAGCCAAACGTTCAGATGCACATTTAATTCGCTTACTGATAAGGTAGACTATTAAGATACCAATATAACTGAAGTTATCATTTTATGCAATCTTATCAGTACTTGTAGCATCAATTCTGAATATTGAAAGGTACAACTAATCCCTAATGGACTATTGATCGATGTAAATTTTCGCACTTTTTTCTGAACTTCTTTTAAATCGAATTCAAATTTTTTTGAAAATTATTTAAAACAAATTTCTTTCAAATCTTTCAAACGTCTTTCAAATGAGATTCATTTGCCAGCTGTTTTAGCTTTACCAACTACTAATTTTTCTTCTTCCTCAGATTTCTATATATATATATATATATATATATTTTCTTTTATACAAAAAATTCATATACATTAACTATCAACAGTGTAGATTTTGTGACAAGACTTTATATTTCTTGTCCCATGATATGTACCTTCAGTGATAGTATATTCACTTTCTCCTTACGAGCGAAACTCAATATAACACAGACAAAATTTGGGTAATGTCGAAATCGAATATTGCTTGTTGGTAATGATATCTGTGTTAGTTAAGCCATCGTACATTTTTACGAGCACTTTTTCATCAAAAATTTCATGTACAATGAAAGCTTAATATGCATTCATGGAATCTGAGAGGATATTTATCGGATGTTACAAAAAACAAAATGCCATTAGGAGCAAACAAGTATTGTAATAAATTACCATCCATGTAGCATGTAGTCGTTGAAAATGATAACTGTTAAATCTCGCTCATACAAAAATCCTGCCGTTCAGTTTTCAATTTTTTCTATCATTTACTATGAATTTTTTTTTCTGTTTTCTCTTTTTTCGTTAAACAGTCCTGTTGATTTATTGCATAATTTGCATGGATTTTCATTTAAAAGAAGAATGAGAAATAAGTTGAATTAGAACTGTAACCAAAAAAGAAAAGAAGAAAGTCTGATATTTCACTAAAGAACTGAAGAATTTCATTCTCCATTAAACTTCTCCATGATTCGCCGATGTTTACAGTGATCGTGCACAGCGAAAGATTTTAGTATAATATAATTCATATCGTCCTATAAAGCCTATCATTTACAAAACATTCGGTGGTAAGGATTTAATGCATGATCTTGCAAATACCAGCCCGTTCAAATAATCAGAACGTGGAACTTTTTAAATAAGCTCATATTTACCATACTTTTCAGCTCAAGAATCACATATATTTGAGTTAGGGTTACTGGTGATTTCCTTTCAATTTGAAACTCCATTGATATCCCAGTAATCTGCATTCTTAATTGTATCACTCTTTCTTGCTTCACTTCTGTTAGCTAATCTGAGGTCGAAAGAAATATTTTTGAAGACAATTGCGCTGTATCGGACTACTTTTGTGTAGCAAATGGCATGTTTTACCTTTATAGCTTTAGTTTATCAGTTTTTTTTTATTGATGACGGTCTTGGTAGTTGTTGAACTTTTATCCGAAATTAATTTGAAAGATGACTCTTCTTAGTGAAGATCTGTTTTTGATTAACAAATCTCAGAATGTATTTTTTCCAGTCTTCTCCCATTCTCTCTTTTCTTATAGTTAAAAGCATTCTGGGATTTTGCAATTGTGAGATCAAAAAGCATTTCAAAAATCATTAAATTTTTGTTGGCATAATATAATATCATTAATGTAATATCATTTCGTAAGGGAAAAAAAATTAACGCTGGAATTTCAAATAGTTTGTAGTTGGACACTTCTTGGTAAGAAAATACAAATAATTCCATGTGCTTATGTTTTCCGTGTTAACAGACATCTGCAATCTGTTTGTGATTGCAAAACTAAAGATTTGAAGCGAGCAGGCTGAGAATTACTTCCGCTCTTATAAATATCGTGACTTCATATTGGATCAAAATAATACAGCTGACCTAGAAAATATAATTGGTCTAGAAAATGTTAGTTTGAAAATCAGTAAACGCACTTTATTGATTATACTGGACTTTTTATATTATTCCGTTTCAAACAAAACTGTTTATACTTGCTTGACATTTTTTCATTTTATCTGTAGTGAGCTTACTGTCGAAAACTAAGCTGAAACAGAAAGGATTTAATTTTTGAAGTAAAGGTAGAAAATGTAAAACGGCATAATATCTGGGTACCTACTTCTACCGTGTTCCCACTATGATTTTAACATTTCCATGATATTGATCAAAGAAATTTTTGGAACATTGCTTACAAGTACGAATTTTAAGACTTTTGCAAGGCTTTTGAAACTTTTAGCTTCGGATGATAAGATATTCATATGTGAAAACATTTTTCATTATCTTTTTTACGTGGTTATTGTCAATCAAATGCATAAATTAAAAATACATATTGAAGTTTTGAGTTGCGAGCGCTCAAAGTTTGTAAATGTTTTTGTTAGGAACGGTGGACATCGTAAAGTATTAAAGAAGGTGAGTCGTCTTAGGTAGCTGAATAAACCGCTTTAATCCGCAAATAAATTTAATTTGAAAGAACTTAAAGCGTACTAATCATGCAATGGGTCAAATTCATTGGACTTATATTTCAGCACTTATGTTTTTTTTTTTTTCTTTTTTTTAACAAATGCTTCATCCTCATCATAATATCTTTCATTGCAGTCTTGAATTAATTCTATGTTTAAATATTAAAACTTGAAGCATTCGGAGTGAAAGCAAGTTTTAAATTCGTTGGTACTGAAACAGAGTTCAAATTCAATGGTCTTATTTGCTTAGGATGACGACCCACAGATCGCAAATGGTGTATATTGTGGCTGTGGTTTTAACCTGTCTTGCTCTGAATGATATCCAAGCGATGCGGATAAAACGAGATCATTCTGAACAAGAAAACCGCAAAAATGAAACGGATATAAATCAGGGTAAGCATCAAGAACATGGCTATGAACACCAAAACGATTCTGGCCATGAAAAACATGAACATCACAACTGTTCTGAAAACCATGAAAGTCATAGCAAGGAACACAGTGACGAAGATCATCACGAAAAGAAAACCCATTATTACTGTAAATGTCGCGATCATCATGACAATGATTCGGAAAGCCATGAACATGATGAACATGACCGTGCGGGTGAAAATGATACAGAAACTCATGTTCATAAAGGTATCCATGAACATGTAGGTAATAATTCAGACAGCAGTGAATATAATCATCAGGATTGTCGTTGCCATTGTCACTGTCCGAAACATAAAGGAAACAATAATCAGGAACAGAAACGTAGGGGTCATAAGAAGGGAAGTGGGGAACACTGTCACTGTTTCTGTCATCATCACGGAGATGAAGAGCACAAGGGATCAGATCAAACGGAACGACATGATAAGGAGCACAGTGAGGAACATAAAAGTTAGCATTTCATTCTTCCCAAAATACATTACTTCATTTTTTTTTTTCATGATTGTATACTAAATATCTATATATCCTTTTGCTTGCAAAATTAGAGAAGTAAAAATAATTTTATAACCAGTGTTAAATTTTATAAAGGGTCCTCATAAATGAATACGAAATTGAAATATTTGCTACCAGTATTATTAATAAGATTCTTTTGTTTTAGAAGAGCCTGAAGAAAAAGAACACAAGGAGGACAAAGTAATTTTTTGCAACATATTTCCTAACTACAAATCAGCGCTAGTGAAATTTTCATAAATGCCCAAGCACTGAAAACTTTTCACACAAAATATTCCAGGCTAAAGGGTCGGTTACAGAAATCAAAGGAATTAAAGTTCACCGTAAACTTTACCTATGAGACAAAGTACATTACTTCACTGAATGTTCTGGTTATTAGATATCAGGACTTCAGAGATCTTTTTTCGTTTTACCCATTTTTAATCTTAGCCAATTTTAGTCTTAAAGTTTTTGAGACCTTTGATGTTCTATTGAAAGTCTAAAACTTTTTTGTACCAGCAAACATGCTGTTTGGAAGCATGCCTAAAATGGTCCTTTTTTTACATCGGTATTTACAGTTATTTGTTTCAGGATCAAGATCAGGTCATGAAACTACTGTTTTGAAGTTCCAAATATTGTGCAGTAAGTTTTTTGTTCTTTTCCTTCTCCTTTTTTTTTTTTTTTTTTTTTTTTTTTTTTTAATTCTGAACAATCACTGCGCAAAATGAAGTCACTACTCCCTTTTTGTAAATATCCTTCAACTTCCTTTTTAAACTAAGATCGTCATTCTTGGCTATGTTAAACATCTCCTGTAGAAATACATGCAACTGACGTATGAGATTGAAAAATTAATGTGAAATTGACTGCTGCTAACTTCTCAGTCAACATAGATGAATTGTTTTAGTTTTACACTTACGTTTATCAAAGAAAGTTCACTACTACCATTTTTAAATAACCTTAAGTAGCAACGACACTGAATCAATAGCTTTTCTGGTAGTTCATTAAATGAATGCATTTTTAGAAAGAAATGTAATCTGAGATAAAAATTTGGGAACCTTTTATTTTTCATCAAAGCGGAATTCACGTATTTTCCAGATACATTACCTGATTATATTCCTCATTATGCATATAAGGTTCGATTTCCAACAACTTCTAACTTTATTTTTCAGGCATGATATTAGCAAACTAATTTTCTGCTGAAAAATGTGCAGTTATACGTAAAACCTCGAAACTAGTGTGGAAAACTGTACCAAATATCTTTCAGAAGTTTAATAAATAAAAGTTTCATGTATTTTTCAACATTATTTTTGCTATTTGTAATCTAAATTCAATATTTAATTTATGACGAGCCTTTCAGGAAAATGATACTTGAAAAATGTTCTTCGTTTGATAAATTTCGTAATAATTGTTTTTTTTTTTTCTTTTTTTCATTTTTTCAACAGGCTTACTTGCTATAAAAACAGCAAAACTGCTTACCAAATGAATGCCTTATTTCAAGGAAAAATTAATCTTAATTTAAATACATGATTCAGATAATGAGCAGCAACTGTTTATTATATTCATGACAGTTTCAATTGCACTTACTGTTGTTAACAAATGATCATATTAAAATCATTTTATAAAAAAATTAACAAATTGCTGCTGTCTATCAACTACATGTCCACCTATAAAACTACTGCGTGTAATATTGTCGTTACTTTCATAAACTAATAATTCGTTACATAATGTGCACAGAACTCAAACAATTTCTCGATTTTCACAATCAAATCCAATTTAAACTATTACTAACTGAGCTATGTCAGTATGTGTTTTCAATATTATAGAAAAAGTGGAGTTCATACAAACGATAGCAAAGAAACAAGTTTCTCACAATCAGTTCAAATAATCAATTTGTACAACTGATTACTTAGAGCACATATATAAAAATAGCCCTGTTAGCCTTTAACAATGATTTTTCTTTGATAACAAAAAACAGGTCCTTCGTCAGTATAAAGACAATCAACCTTAATAGCATGCAACCTTAAGAAACCCTGAAATGCTGAAAATTTACAGCTGTGCTGTTGAATTCAGAAAGCCGAAAGAAGAATTCACATTAATAGAAGCAACTTTACCTAGTTTTTTGAGCAAAAATAAACAAAGAGTAGAAAATTAATCACATACTGTTGTAGAAAAAGAGCCATGAAGAACACTGAGGGAGAATTAGTAAAAGTTGTTAAATTTTTCCATAAAAAAGCTCTTTTGCAGTTTTTATCGAATATTTTGCAAAAAAAAAAAAAAAAAAAAAACGTACTATAAGTACCAAACAGCAGCAAATTAATAAATTAGAAAAATACGATAACTTTAAAAAAAAGATATACAAATATGCGCAGATATATGTGCTGATGTTATCGGACCATCCAAGTTTCTAAATCATCTAGTTGTGATTAACATTTGGATGTTACGAAAACTAACTCCACTTTCAATCCAAATAAGAACTCATATGTTAGCGAAAGAATGCTTAACTTATAATGATATAGAAAGAAGCAATTTTTCTCAGAGAATAATAAAATTTTGATTCTCTATAAATTCTAAACAGAAATAAGAAATTCTTACCGATGAGATAGAAGTATCTAAAAGTTAAGAAGGTATGAGCACACTTTCTTGATACAGTTATTTAGCATAATCCGTTTTCTTTTTTTTTCATCGATTGATTGTTATAACCTACTTGAGACGTGTAGAAAATGAAAAGGGGTTGACAAGTGCCATTTTGAAACAATCCTTTTTTTTACTACCTCCAACTTATTTTCCTCTGAAATATAATTCTCATTGATCTGGACTTTCAAGCTCGACTTTCTACTTCATTTCTGTCTCGAATTAATAAAATAAAAAAGAATAATCGATCTTCGAACATAGATTATTTATTTTAACAACATTAGAAGAACTCACATGGTTTATAACTTTTGCTTGTTGTTATTGAAAATTAATGATAAAAAGACCAAAAAATATCAAAACTCGACAAGGAATAAATTTTTTTGTGAAGCATTGTTAATTTTTAAGTAAATAAAATTCAAAAAGATTAAAGCCAGACGAAACGTTGGTCACTGTTTGCTGTTATAGAAAACTGACCACTACTTGTATGTCTGAACTGAGGACGACGATGCCGTTTTTCGTCGCAGCAAAAATAGAAAAGGAAGAAAAGAGTTCCTATTTCAAGCTTTTGTTTTGAAAAGATGAATTGAAAAAAATAAATTAGTGCAGATTGCTGTAATTCTGTCTTTCTGAAATCAATAAAAGCTGGTCTAGATCAGCTGATTTAAAAAACAGCTTTTTGAGTTAAAGCATTTCTGTTTCACCATTTCGCTAGTTTATTATATATTGTAAAAATTATTAATTATTACTAAATAAACGACTTTTGATAAACATGATTTACAATCATTTATCAAGATTTTCTTTAATTTCCTTACCCACTATTTATTTATTCACTTATCAAATTTTAACAGATGTTCATAACGTCCGGTTTAAATTTAAAAGGTCTCATTTGAAAGCATTAACTTTATATCTTTGATGAAAGTATTTGTTTTGTTTTTAGTAAAGTATTCTTCGCTAACTTTAGTCATAATACATAAAAACAGAAGCACACTGCAGAACGAACGCATAATGTATTTATGCGCTTATCACTATTGCTGTCATAAATTGCATGAGTGTGTTGGTGAAATAAGTGACCTTCGAACATCCTCATATCCCTCTTTTTCCTTCGTCCTAATTATGCATCTACAGAAAATCGGTTGCTGCTCTCCCGTACTTCCTTTATCTTACTACATTGATCAATGTATTCACTCATACAAACATATTGACGAATAAATGTCAGAACATGATACAAAAAATACTTCCCTGGACGGTCCAACAACTATACTCCTGGACTGTAGACTCCTCTCTGGTCAACCTATTCTCCAATGATCATCGCACTTCACAGCAAATTTTTTTTGAAATTAAGTGCTCTGATCGCGCGCCAACCGACCATTCTAACGTCAACATGTGTTATGGTATGCTTTCCAGCAATTACGTCAAGTAAGAAAGTAATCATAACCTTTGCATGTGGTTAATACATTTACTTATCTTTCGAATTGATATTATAAGAAAATTGTTATTGAGAAAACTCTTAAAACATTCAGAAAACTTAAGAACTCTTAAAGTTACCAACTGATTCTCATAGACTGTAAGACCGTAAAAACTTCATCCTAATAAAGGTTTCGTATGAAAATTAGAATATCGACATTAATTCTACCTAAGAAAATAGCCTTATTGGACTATGTTGACTCTCGAAATAGAAAATTCTAATTTTATAATGTTTTTTTGCTCAACTTGTCCTCCAATCAGAATTGGATTTTATCACATTTTCGAATTCAAAAAAGTATCTCAAAACTTCGCCGCAGTCTCTAGTTCCTTTGCTCGCTAACTTTTGCTTCAATTAATGTTCAAAGAAGTGGCTGTATTGTCGAAATTGAAACTGAAACAAATGTATTATTGAAGAAAGATTGATGATCATTTGGCAGTACAAAACCATTACAAAACAAGCGCCCTAATTAATAAAAAGTTGCCAATGAAAGTAAGTTGCAAAATTTTTTACATTTCGAATTATTAATTGGCGTTTTCGAAATGCTCCAGAAAAAAAGGTGATCTACATTCTACTTAAACTTTTTCAATGTTAGATTGATCCATTAGTAAGAAGTCACCAAGATCGCTTAGGTTCCCATGCTTTAAGTGTAATGATACTATAAATCCAACCACGCCTCATCTATCTTGACCTAGTTTTTTTCCGTTTCTTTAACTTATTTCCCTGCACAACTCTCTCATAAGTGACTACTTTCCATGATCGCTTTTGTTCTCGCGAATGATATATGATTTTCAGCTAAAATTAATTTTGTTTTCTTTTAAACTGTATGACGTTTGTTAGTATAGATGTAATATAATAAGCCCTTATCCTTTATTAGTAGATGGTGATCGTAGCCTAATTGAGATTCATGTTATCTTTTGGCTTTTTCATACTTTTATTCCTATTATATAAAATATAAAACGATTTCAGATAGCACTAGCAGCGTGTACTGCAAATTTCCACGCGCAGTTCAAAAATGATTTTCGTACAGACTTTTCTTCGCCGTTATCAAAGTCATGGTCGGAGAGGGAATATTACCGAAGATTTTATAACTTGACATCTGACCCATATACGGTTATCCTTAATGCTTCCACTGTCAGAAAAGTAGTATCAAAAATTCATTTTTTGCCTCCTCTATTTTTTTCCTTCTTTCCTCCTTTCTTAGCGATTGCTAACTTTTCATTTTAGAATGAAAAATCATATACCAGTGATAATCGCAAGCGAAATCCATAGTTACATAAATTCAGATAATGCTTTTTGGTGAAAGCGTCGATGGAGGTTCCATGCTACGACCTGATAAATTTATTGCTATGGAACGGGAAGCAGAGCGAGGATTACGTATGCATTTGGTCGGTGATGGTTTTAAGAATAGGACACTTGGTTCTTATCTATACATTTCTTCAAAACCGTTTTACGAAGCCATTTCGGTTAGAATTTCATTGATAGGTACTACAGATATGCTACACCCCTCATTTCTTTGATGACATAAACATAATGATGTGAGTCCACTTAATTCCACCAATATTTTTAAAATTAGAAAGCAAAATTGAAAAATCGCAACTAATTAGTAACAAATGCAAACCAATTTTAGGTAGCGATCAAAATTCAATCAGATAAAAATGCTGTGCTTGGTTATCCAACGATGAATCTTTACGGTATTAACTTCACAATCAGGAACGTCTTTCGGCGTTATAGCAATTTATTGCTATGGAACGGGAAGCAGAGTTATAGCAATGGTTTTGTTGGCATGCTGGTATACTCCTTTATATTTCTCGACAACCAGGATGTTGTTTCAAGTATAAAACGAGCTGAAATTGAATGGAGAAATAAGCTTAAGGTGTTCTTCGACTGGAAGCAAAAGAGTTTAATTACCATAATCATAATTGAGATATCGAAATTGGAAAAATTACTAAAATATGAGAAAAATATTCTAACGATTATAATTCAGAAACGAATATAAAATAATTTGTTCTCACAAAGAAATGATGAATTTAGTACAGAAATCCTTTTTTAACCCATTATACATTTTAGCGCTCAAATGAATCAGGTGTTCGTTTTCGATTATTTGGTGATGAAATTGTAAATAATGAAATATTTGTGGGTTCAGTTGGCTCCTTACCTTATTTCCTTACTGGTTTTCTTGCAATGGTCATCTTTATTTTTTTATCAATTCTTCATTATAATCAGGTCAGTTTTAAATAAATTCTGATTTCGATCTTACTTCCGAGAATGAAAAACGAACCAAACAGCAAATTAAAAATGTCTAACAAAAGGTTGGTTCGAAACTTTTTGCAAAAATAATGAAGGCATTGTTAGCCCGTTATCATTAGTTTTGATAGTGTTTGAATCTTGCTTATTAATGTAACGATAATTTTACTTTAGTTCTTTAATTTTATTGAGTTCTTTCTAGAAGATTATAACTCTCTAATTTTTAATATTTCTAGTTGAAGTCAAAATTGTTCGGGTCATTTAAAATAATTCATTGATTACAATTTCAGACATTTTTGCAAACGGTTTTTTTGACGCTGTGGACTACATTGTGTCCATGTCTGGCTGGATTAACATCAGTTGCTATATTTTCAATACTAGGCCGTACACTGAATCCGTCCATGTTGGCTAATCTTATAAATCTACTGTTACTAATTTTCCAACTAAGTTATTTCTCAATCAGTCATCTATTGATTTAAAATTAGTGCAGGCACCTCATGGCAGTCAAATTATTGATTTAGATGCTTGTCAACCGTAAAAAATTTCATAGTTGTAAATTTTTGTCGGGTTTCATTTGAAAATTAAAATTTCTCATTTTAGACTTATCACACCTTTCTTGATATTAGCTGTTGGTGTAGACGATGCATTTCTAGTGCTACACAAATGGTTCACATCTGTTGAAATAGATTCCTTATCTCGTTTAATTTCAGTACTAGTAGAAATCGGTCCATCGATCACCCTTACTTCAGTTACAAACATCTGTGCCTTTATGGTGAGTGTTGAAGTTATCCAGCTACTTGCTGACAATAAAAGAATGCGCCGTCAGTTGAAAAATAGTAGACAAATGGCAAACGTAATTTCAGTAAACATACTATAGATTAGCAGTTTTTTTTCACCCAATGCAATTCGAGAATTTTGTTACTGTTCTGCTTTGGCAATTATGCTTGATTGGATATTTCAAATTCTAGTATTTACTCCAGTACTATTAAAAATTCACTCTTGTTCATTCAATATTTCAAGGAAAGGCAACAAAAGGTTTGTTCCTTAAAAATCACTAGAAAACTATGTATATAATAAAACAAAAAAGTTGAAACTTAAGAAACTGAAATAAAACGCTCATAAAATTTTGATTCTCAAATAATTTCACGATAAATGTACCACGCGATTTGTTATTTTATCGCACATTTTATCAATTTTTTTTAGATGCAAGTCACCTTTCAAAAGTTATTGCGAATTTTTGATGCATCCTGTTACGAGAATTACTTTATTCTGTATTCTTATTCCTTTTTGGATCTATAATATATATCTTGCGCTTCGAATGGAGGAAAATTTTACACCGCAAAAAACAATCCGATCAGATTCTTTTCTTACTGATTCGTTGCCAATTCTTGAAAATGTACGCAATTCAGGTTTAAGTCGAACAATGTATAGGTCCAGAAGTTCAAACAAACTAAAATATTTAATTCGACTTAAGTTTAATCCAAAAAAGACGAAGTCTACATAATAGTCAATATCCTTCATTGTCTGTTGCTATGAAATAGGATGAATCCAGAAAAACTAATACAGTTTTGCATTGGTAAAAAAGAAGTTCTAGATTTGTTTATGCTAAAATGGAACTGCTCTAGTTACTTTACGTTTTTACCATTCTTCTTTTTAACACTAACAAAATGAAAGTTTTAGGCTTTTATGGAGCATGAAATCTTCCCCGTCTTTGTGAAATACATTCCAGACAGGACAACAGAATTATTAGATATTATGGCGCATGTACATAATCTTGACTATGTCCAAATTATATAACTTGGATTGAAGAATATGCTGCTCTATATGGCTACACAAACGGCACTACTGAAAATTTTTTTAAAAATATAATGAAATATCTTGATTACAATCCCAAATTGGCGAAGAATTTAGTTTTACAATTTGATAGGTTCATGAATTTTTTTTTTTTACTTTCGACATTCAGCTTTAAGTCGAGAGTCTTCATTTATTAGAAAAATAGAATACTGTCGAGCAATCGAAACTTTTGTCGAACATTCGAATAAATCTAAATTGCATTATGATATGGAACAAAGTGATATAAACAATTTTACTGTAACCAAGTGTTTGTGACAAAGGTTTGTGTTGCAGGACAGTACATTATTTTCTTTTCATACACTAACCATATAATAAGTTAAAAATAATAAGATGAGGATAACTGATCAAAGTGTTTAGCAGTGGAACTGCCACAGTTGACAAAATATCCTTTGACTTGTGTATTCATGGATATGGTAGTTGGCGTGATCGAGCTTTTATTCATAAACAGGTCCGAGAAAAGATGCCTGAAGAAATGCTGGTATACGATTACGACTGCACTTTGTTTGATATCATATTGACAGCTCGAGAAACGATGCTTCAGTCATGTGTCATTACATCTATCACCATGCTTGCCATTTGCACACTGTTCATCCCAAGCGCTCGAGCTACTGCTTTCGTCTTCCTTTCAATGATTTCAGTCACAACGGGTTTGTTATATTTCCATAAATTATTAGGAAAATGTTTTCCAAGTTATTTAACAATAAACAGCCTGAGAAGAAGCAAAAATGGTTTAAAGATCTTCGACAAACTCATTCATAGCAGTGTCTAATGTGAATTTCATTTTCGATTAATTTTGCGAAATGTTTGTTTTAAGCTTAAGTATTTCACCTTTTTTTAACTATCATACAATTTATGAATTAAATAAAAAATTTCTTGGTGGAACTTTGTTTTCTAGTGAAATACTTTTATTCTGATAATTAACTGTTTTTTTTTTTTTTGAAGTTTTTCTTTATCTGAAGTTAAAATTAATGGTTGTATGAGATTTTCAGGAATAGTAGGAGGTTTAAGTGCATGAGGCGCTGATATGGATATTATTGTAACCATCAGCGTTGTGATGGCAATCGGTTTGACAATTGATTATGCAGAGCACATAAATTATCATCATTTTGTAATGAATTCAATACTGCCTCCTATAGATCGAATGTCCTCTTCGTTACAAGCTATTACTTATGCTACTGTTCAGGTGAAATACTTTTCAGTGGAATTTCATGCTGTTTTGTTCATGCTTTCGACAGGTATTTTCCGACTACCATTTAAACATTTTTGGGATCAATGTTTCGATCAAAATCAACTTTTTGAAAAAGAATTCATTTCAAATAGTTATTATATATTTCTAATATATTTCTATACAATTTCAGGCAGGCACAACTACACTTATATGCGTTTTGCCTCTTTATTCTTATAATGTATATATGTATGTTACATTCGCCGAAGCAATTATACTATGCTCCATATTTGGCCTTCTACACGCTGTTGTTGTTATACCTTTTCTGTTCTTGTTCTTCTGAATTTCATTCATAATATATTTTGTAAAAATTATTTCTATTATTTTTCACTTTCTTCTAATCTATCTTGTTTTCTTATTTCTAATATATATATTGTAAAAATTACTTACTGCACTCACTCATTGCTTCCATATTCCGAATGTCTTGATTTGTTGGCTTCTTTATTAATGATCATTTTGCAAGATGATAACTCTATTCTTCGTACTCGACGTCGGAGTGGACGATTCTTTTTGTTCAGGCAATTGTGGTTTTGTTTAGAATCTACACCCAGTTCTCGATTTTACATGATCTATACAGTATTGGTTCCATCTATTACGTTTCTTTTATTAATGTTTTCCTTGTATGTCAATCCATTATTTTCATCCCTTTGATTTTTAGTTTAACTCCTAACTTCTTTAATGTACTCCTAGTTAGATGTCCTTAATATGCATTGCATTGTGTGGCCATCAAGTTTTGTCTTTGTTCAGTAAGTGCACTTACATCATGCTGGCCATTTGAATTGTTTATTTTTGTACCTCAACTATTGGTCTGTAAATTAAGGATAATACCATTAAATGAAAATGAAGGATTTTACGTATTAGTTTTTTTTTTTTTTTAATCAATGGAACTTACATTTCAGTAAATTCCATTGATTTTGGACCTGAATGCTTCAAAATGTATAATGCTTCCCTTCAATTTTTTCTTCACTCATATTGCGATAATCTGCTATTATTTGTTTTACTCAGAAGTTATATATTTATGACTATAAAATGCAAGAAAATTTTGTTCCTGAAAAAATATTTGGCGATGACTCATTCCTAGCGAAATCTTTTGCTTCGATGAGTGAAGTTGATCCAGTCTTTTGCAAAGCTTTCAATAAATCGTTTTCTTTAAGCAATATGGATTTGTCAAAACTATTTTTTCATTATATCCGAAAAAATTCTAAATATGATTAAAGGATAAAGATGAAAATTTACTGAAGATTTTGCAGATTAATAGAGATTACCAGATAGATAATCAAAATAATAGTGAAAGAACTACCAAGGAATGCCACTGCTATGATATGACGCGAACTACACTTTTTTATTATCAGTGCCATAATTAACAACCTGGCTTGATCCTAATGAAAAGCTGTATCATCATTATCAATTGAGATCCACGAATATTTCAGCCAACTACCCAGTTTTCTCAAACGATATCCAGAAACTACGTATTACTTTATTATTATAATGCAAGCATTATAATAATAAAAAGTAGAAAACAAGTGATTTAGTTAAAAACGTTTCCAAGATAAATATATAAAGTGTTTCTTGTTTCTTGTCTTTATAATCCTCCTAAAACTTTGTTTAGAAAACCTAACTTTTGCCTACCTTGTTTACGCGCTAGATTAACTAAAAATTATTAATAAATCAATTTCACAGAGAAATGTATCTGTAATGATTTGCTTTCTTACACAGTTTATTTCAAGAATACTTTGTTGTCTTAAACAAAATATCATTTGAATTATGTTTGCAAGGATTTGCACAGTGGTAGGATCGTGCCATTGTTGTAAACAGTTTGAGACTACTTGCCAGTGACTATCCGATGTTTTTGTACAATTCGCATATCGTAGATCTTATTTTGTCAGTCAAAGAAACAGCTTTTGAAGCAGTGATGATAAAAGTTGTAGTTATGGCTGTCATTTGTTTTATTTTTTCCTCTTACTGTTCATGAAAATAGCCATTTGCACGATACTTTCCTTTTTTCCGGTTGCTAAGCTTTAGTTAGCATAGTTATTTAAAGTTGTAAATTAAGCTAAAATTGATGCATTACCACGTATTGATTTCTCGTAAAAATCTGCAAATAAGGTGTGACCATTATTTTGATCGTTGAAAACTTTGCAACCATTCATTGCAGGAAGCAGATCTTTGCGGGAATACTGATGAGAAAATGAATATTGCTCCTATTTTATTGATGCTACTTCAGGTGTAAGCTGTAACACTCAAATGATGAGTGACGGGAAATCTTTGTACATGGGGAGCGCAGTTGGATGTGGTGCTTATTGGTTCGTTTTCATCAGTAAAGTATTTAAACAGAGCAAACAAATGAATCTCAAATGACTGAAATGAATGTATAATTCCAACCATAGGGAACTCTTCGATATCTCGAGAGAACTATTTAATATTCGTTTTTTTTTAAAAAAAAATGATTTTTATTCATGACCTTATTAGTCACTCGTAACACGTAGACAACATCTGACTCATCTGTGCAGTGTTGCTTATGGTAGTTCACATTTAACTGACTGATTAAATGAATTATTCTGTTCACATTATTCTAGTAATTAAGAATTTGATATTAAAAAAAAAAAAAAAAAAAAAACTGTTTTATCAATTTTTTGAAGAAAACTAGGTTCGTAAATATGGTTCAAGTCGAAAGGATCAAAAAAGCTATGCATGAAAGTAAGTCTTCATGTGTTTTAATATTAAATAGAAGGACAAAATGAATACAGACTAACTGATAGGAAAATAAAGAGGGCACTTCATATTCTTTTCCAGATTTAGTCTTTACATAGTAAATACACTAAAACTGTATAAAGAGAATGAAAAATATGAAAATATTTGGTCTCAGTAATAATTTGAAACATGTCCCCCTTAATATATGTCTTATACATCCGTGGTGCGGTAACGGTAACACGCGAAGGAGCGGATTACCAACGCTGTAACATTTTGTCAGCAGCACTTGTGTCATTACGGATGTCATATTCCTCAGAAGGCTTCAAGATAAAGTCGTTCCATCCATCTCTTTCGGTATCAGTCATCAGTTAGTAAGAACGTCTTGGGTGGTCTCGTGTAGCAGTACGTACTGATGCCAACAATAATGTAAAGCTTACTGTGTGGTCATTTTTGTCTCAAGTTTTGATCTCTGTTGATAAATTATTTTTGGTGTCATCTCCATTGACATCCCTTTTTCTATCCACAATCGCTCTTTTATTATTGTAGCACAATAAACCTTTGACATTTCTGGCAATTTGCTGATACTTTCAGGTGCTACTATATCATCCTAGATTGTTAGTAATATCGACGTTACTAGTACTGTGACTACTATCGTTAACATGTTGTAGCTAAGCAAGTCGTTTGCACAATCCAGTCGATATGACAAATATTTTCCACCCACTGCCCGTCTACTCATCCATAAAAATTGATAAGGTATTGGTACATGTATATTGCTTTTTTCTGATTCCGCTTATCTCGTCACTAGGTATTTTCTCTAATTTTTTCGATTTTACATCAAGCATGCGCAATACTATTTTGATAAACACCATCCTTTTTCCTACTATTATCGCTTGGTATTTGAACTTCCAAAACAGCCTTACGTTTTTACAATTTATCACTTCCTGCTGTTACACAACCCATTCAGATTTTGTTAATACTTACAATTCATTTGAGCAATTCTATGGTATCCATTGATAAGATGTGAAATTACTAATATATGCCTTTAAAATTTCTACTTTAATACAGAATGTGCATAAGTATTAGTCTTATCATTATAATTAATTTCTTTGATAACTTTAACAAGGCATACGTATCACCAACTTTTTTTTGTTGCTTTGTTTTTCTGATTCTCACTATTCAACTATTATATTTTTACGTTTTATACGCCTTATTTTTACTGTCTGCATTCTGTAGCCTTTCAGAAGTTTCGCGTAGCTATCTTCTACTTGTAACAGTAGGAATTCAGGGTTTAGTTCTTCAGTTTTGTTGAATTCCACAAATTTGAAGTAAATTCTGGATTTGTACTGTCGGAAAACCGAAAAAAAATAGTATTACACACTAAGGGTTTAGAATAATGCTAATGATTCATTACTATAAAGCAATTCGTTATTCCTTTGCTATATCCCATTTTTTGAAACAATGAATTCTTTATCGAAACCTCAAATAGTAAATGTACATCTGTCTTCATTGTAAATGTTAATCCTCTAAGCTAAGTCCACTTCCTACATTTTTAAAATCTTCTCTGAACAGTTAGGAAAAAGGAGAGGATCGGCAGCAGTCTTCTTTCCCTCCTACTCAACAGTACTTTTTATTCCTTTAGTGTTTCAATTATTTGACTGCATATTTATAAAGAAAATAAAATTATCTGGCAGTCAATAAAATTTCACGGCACCTACTATTACAAACAACAAAGTGATTTCATTCCGGGGTGGTTTTGATATGCCGAAATATGCCAAAAGGTTCAAAAAAATCTTTCAAGACTCGGAAGTTATGATTCTGTTGCAAGATGAAGGTGTCCTTAAAGCCTACATGGATATCATGGTTAATCCAGTTTATACAGCACACCTTGGTCACGATGAGCCTCCACCAAATTGCCAGGTAACCTGTGAGCTCATCACAAAACTTAGAGCCTTGTGCTGAGGATTTAATGAACTTCAGAAGCGCATTCACCGAGCTGGATATGTCAGGAGTTAATAAAGAGCGAAGAAGACGAACTGCTTCCAATGGGTGATGATAATAAAGAGATAACTGAGCAGGATATGGAAAAGCTAACTGATCAACGGATGCTTGCTGAAAGGCATTTAATGAAATACTGTTTTCTTAAACTGTTCTGTCTAGGTGTCAAAAATCATTTTTAAAAAAAGTAATCATTTGATTACAGCACTACTTAAAACTAGTAAAATTACAGTAGTACGAGTTTACATAATTTCGTGCAAATTTCGTAATCACTCATGACTGAATGTATCATTATCCAAATTGAAATAAATTTGATACAGACCGCAGTCATGTAGCTCTCTCTTGCAGGTAGTATCTATATGTTAGAGGTGAAGTAGAATAATGCACTGTGTCAAGAATTAATGTAAAAGAAATATACTTTTTTTTTTTTCTTCAGTTTTCCATTTATTATATAAAGGTTTTGTTATCATGGAGCTGATGTTTGTTTTCGTTTCTTTGTAACCTACCTATACTCCATTCGAAGGAGAAGAAAAAAACTGATAAGATGAATGGATTGTTCTGATTTACTTATACTATCCAACGGGATCTGTAACTAACTACTGCTTCTGATATCATGTTTTGAAACCTTTTTGTCGCTCTTCGGATAGTTATTTCCTTTGCAGATACAGCGCAGTGACAAATTATTGAGCAGTTTCAATCAGTTCAATGCTTATAATATGAAATATTATAAGCATTGCACTTATAAACTTATGAATCAAAATCTGTGAATTTTTTTTTGAAAATTTCTGCACAAATATGGGAAAGGTATAACGAAACACCGCTTATCAACTCAAAGAATTCGAATTCGTAAAATTTCTGCAGTGTATATCATTCAGAAGCAACTCATCGACCAATCGGTCAAATAATAAACAAATTACTGAACGACTTCAGTCAGTTCAATGCTTACAATATTTCGTGTTATGATCACTGCACCTATAAACTTTATCTGGTGATAGATTAAAATGTTCTCACACGAACCCTTCAGCATCATCAGTGATTTTTGCTCTGCCGTTTGCAACAAATTGGCATTTACCAACTTTGTACTTTCGACCAGCACTTTTCAGTTCCTCTTCAATTTTACCAGTTGAAGAAACTGCAGGGCCATATATAACCTTTCATTGAAGGTTATGTGTGAGAATACCATAGTTCATAGTTAAGGATCATTTTAAAAAATTCGTTCATCTCACCATCTTATTTTTCATCCCTCCATCTCGCTGATAAAGATGGCTTGAAATCACATTTGACAGTGCAGGCGGTATGCTATTACCGGCTGCATTGTCACTTGTTTGCATAGCTTGTCGCTGTTTTACTTACAACGAAAATAACATCAATGTAAATTATTCACTGGTGTACTCCTTGACCTGAGAATGACATCTTTGTACAGTCCAGTGGCCTAATACTACTGTCAGTGTTTATACGCTGATAATGACCGGTTTATGAAAGTTGTAGATAGCTTAGGAGGATAACGAACTGTAAAAATGATCTACCTATACTTTGTAACACTACCACTACTTGAGAACGGTGTTATACAGATTTGTTATTTGCAGCTAGCATGGTAATACCGTTGTTTGTAGTCGTTATTCAGTTGAAAGTGCGCTGTTTGCTGGCACAATTCATATCCCAGTCGTCTGCAGTTTGTTTTCTTCGCACACCTGTACCTCTACAAAAGCTCTGCAAATTGGTGTTGGGATTCTTATCATTAAAGTAGGAAATAAACTACTTATCCAATCATCTCTTTCTCCATTTCCTGAGAGTTTATCAGTTTTGAATTTGAAGAGAAAAATTTTTAAGCCAATCCATGATGAATTTTGTTTTGTTTTAACAACATTTAAGAAATTAGATGAAGAAATATATTCATGATTCATTTTGCTATGAATTCAGCACTGTCAGTGTGAATTATTCGTTGACATCACTTACTTCTCTGATTCCAACAATTACCAGTTCAGTTCAACTTTAGTGAAACTTGTTTTTCTATATTTTACTAAAACATCGAAATGATCCATTAATCAAATATAAACATAACTTTACCATTTATTTGATTTCTGACTTTTTCTTTAAATTTCCTTTTATACTGCATTTCTTGCAATATTTGAAGCAAGAAAGAACAGAATTATGATCCCATCACCACCCATCTAATTTTCATTATGGATGACGTAGTAAAGAGATTATAAGCCAATATTATGTTGGATTAAACTAGACTAATTGGTTGCTTTTGGGAACGACGACAAAAAAAGGAAATGTGGTAATTAAGCCATGAAGATTAATAAGCAAGATGTAACAAAAGCTTAGCAGCTAAAAAGACTGCTAAACTTAATGATCCCAAAATTTAGGCGGCAGTATGCAATATTTGAAGCAAATGGTCGTACAACTCATTTGTAGTGACAATCTCTGTAAAATTTCGCATTAAAAGTTTTTGTGGGGAGGATCCAAGAAAGATGTATCCATTCATCATAGATACAAACGGTAAAGATGTAGCTCCAGTGAATATTACATAGTGTAACTCTCGTGTCAGTAATTATTGCTATATTTAATAAAGAATAAATTTAGTGATCCGCAAAAAAAAAGGCAAAGAGCAACTTTTATACTAATTTGTTTTCAATGGATAAGTTGATAAAAAAGACAGGTAAAGCGTAATTTTAGTCGACCAGTTAATAGTAAATTTATGTCTGTCCGTAACAAGCGCAGCCCATTTCTCTTAAGTTTCTATTAATAATTTACATTAGCTGACTGTATTGTAAATCATCGCTCTGGCAACATAAACTGATGCTGTTAATCAGTTTTTGCGTCTACTGATAAAATGGAAGAATGAGGCACAAGCATATCATTAAATCACTTCATGGAGGAGCTTATTTAAACTTTTGTGGATATTGAAAATCAGACAGTGCGAAATACAGCCACCTAAGTGCAAATCCCTTTACGACACAATCCACATTTTGTGCTAAGAGAAATGCCGTGTTTCCCAAAGCAAAGTTTCTATTGCAATTGAGCTTGCATCTGTATACCGGTACGTTAATAAGTCGGAAATTAGTTCATGAAAAAAATTGCGAATACAGAGAAATGAAAAAGCATCCAAATACTTGTAACTATTATCGTTTGATGTTGAATTCTTGAAGCCATAATACAGTAATGTTAAATTCCAAGTATCAATCAGACGTTGCATTTTCTTAGCTCGATGAATCTCAATGTCTACTTTGTCTTTATTCTTTAGAAAACTAGTCGTTTTTTTTTTAAATTCTTGAAAATTATATTTCAGGCAACGTTTTTTTTTTTTTTTTTTCAAGGAACATGGAGAAATCCCAAAACAATGCACTTCGGTGCTTAACAACCCTATGAAGCCCATATTCGAATCATTTCCACAATTAAACCTACACTTAAGTTTCAACTTCATTTCTATTCTACTTCACTCTTAGATTCCTTTGGCTCGTTATGCATCTGCAGTGATTTTTACAATAATCTTCGCAACTTTTTCAATCTTTGGACGAGTTCTAAATGTTTTCATCAGCGTTATCAGAAAATTTTGATGTTCACTCCGTAATCTACATGCAATGCTTAACTTTGCATGCATATTCTTATTGTCATGTCATGGGCTTTGTTGAGTCTGTACCAGAATAAGCTTTTTCCGCATGTGTGGCTTGGAAATTAGATAAGATTAAAATTAAAATTAAAATTACAAATACTACAATGTTGAACAGAACTCTCCGATCGGTTTCCCACTGCTATTCGATTGAAACGGTCACCACCCATCTGTGAAGGTCTGCTGAAACATGCATGCTTCCCTTATAACTTTTCTATAGACAAGTAACAAGTATAACAAGTATAATGTAACCCACATGGAACCAACGCCTCCCTAAAGGATTACATTCTGTATAGAAATGTTCAGTATTTTAAATTCCCTTATATTCTTGACAGGTCATTATAAATTTCTTTCAGCAGTTTTCGCTTCTCTCATGAGGTCTATTTTGGGCAAGGTTTACAGTATGTGTTTGATTCCTGTTCAAAATTAAGTTTGAAAACTGTCAATTTAGGATAGCTTTCAGTCTTCACATTCTAACAAAAACCTTGTTCATCCATGCACTATGGCTTAAACTATATTTTAAAGCAAATGCCGACCCAACTTCACTAAATTTACTTAACATAAAGAACGACATGAACTAATAACTTGTCACAATAGCACAACTCACTGATCTCTGAAGATTCAGGACTCTGTTAAAGTAGCAACATTGTAACCTAATGACCACGTGGTACGGACGACGTTCCCAACAGAGGTCGGAAATTTGCGTCGGCACCTCCACCTTAAAAAAGTTATTAAAAGAAACTCATTGAAGTGAGGTCTTGTAAATCTTTTATTCTAAATTCAATTCTAAATCGTTGCATTTTTTCCAATTTTATTTTATTATGCTTTCACTAAAAATGAGAAACTTTCCCTCAACTGTGAAATAAGAAACTAGTTCTACGGGAAATTGAATAACAGAGAGTTTAGCTGTGTACATATTTTTCCAATAACTCTGTATGTAAGGTGCAATAAAATAAGATACTCAAGAAAGTTTCTGCTAGTAATAAGGTTGCAGGTAAGATTCAGTTGCTTAGTCCCAGCCTCCCAATGAATGAGAAAAAATGCTAAAAGTGATGAGGTCTCCCTTTAGTTCACTGAGTTATATAAACACATTTCATGGATAACGAAAGCCGCACGCTGAAAAGTCCCATGGTAGATACCGCAATAGTTATTAAGATTTTGGACAAAAAAAAACTTGCGATACGATTGGAAATAAGCCCCCAATAGTGCATCAAAATTCCTTTCGCCATTATAAGATTGCTACATGAATCATTATCCAATTCATGCATATAAAACTCCAGAAGTGCAAGAACTAATCCACTGCTCTGGATGTTGTATAAAAGACAACAGCTGCGATCTTGAATCTTCTTCTTTTAACCACCCTTATTTCGAGACCTAAAAAAATCTAGCAATGTCTTAGATACTATAATATATGGTTCTAACTTAGAGTGAGTGCCCTGTCTAAATCCATAAGATATTCAAAACACATTCTAGCAATGGAAATTTTAATGCTTTCGTGATTGAAACTGCATATGTTTAGCATCGTATATACATAGTTCTTGTCACAAAACACGTAATCAGACGACATAGGTTATAGAGACTGGTAGGATGAAGGATGAGAATGGTAAAGAACTTTCGGTAAAAAAAGGATGAGACTCAATACCAGTAGAAGTAGGATAAAAATGGAAAAATGATGACCCAAAAATTCTCTTCCAGGACTAAAAGTGGTCATGCACTGAACCATAAGGACTGAATTTCATAAATCATTTATTTATGATTTCGGTAGGGAAAACACAGTTATTTCATTAAAACTCTTCTTCAAATATAAGTGCTGTGCTAAGAAAAAAAATTCACGTGTATTTTGATAAAGTTATCAGGAAAGAAAATATTTATATGCACCATTATTACACAAGCCTAAGACCAAGATAGTACTGAATCTAATCTGAAACATCTACTGAGAATACGAATAACAAAGACTGTCGATTATAACAATGACCTTACTCTTTTTATCTCTTCTTCATCCCTCATTTCATTCTTTTAAGTCTTTTGTATTTCTAAATAGCTGAACAGAAGCCAAGCAACGCACAGTAACTAGGCAAGATTATTGACTTTTGATCTGAACTGAGCTCGAATCATAAGATTGCAGAATCTTGGCCTCCATTCCTGATGAACCCCGCAGATGGTATGCAACAGTAGAGATGACAGTTAACTTTTTTCTTTTTTCCTCTTCCTACACCCTTCTACTACACGGCAGTCTTATTTAAGAAATATCTAATGACTCTTATAGTAAGACTAATAAAATTCGAGTATATTACATTAAATCACAGTATATTACTTGGAAGGCATGAAGAATGTGCAAACATTCGATATACTCTACTTCAATAACAGTAAGCGACTGTAATAGTGAAAAAACCAATGACTCATTAAGCAGTATGAACGAACGACCACATACAAACTGAAAACTGTTTTAATAATAATGGTAGGAAGAGGAATGAATGCGTTCCTCAACCATCATCATTCCACAAAGCTTCCAGAAAGTAGCGGTACGATAAAAACAACTCATATGTCTAACAAATGAAACCAGTGAGCCACTGAAAGGATAACATCCAAGTCTTGATTTGAGAAAAGCATTCGGGAAAACTTCCTTCAACAAAAACACCCGGAAGATCCAATTTGAATTTTTCTCAAACGGTACTCTTCCCTCAGCTCATTCATGTTTCATCATTTATTATCATCCTCTAGAAAAAATATAAAAACCGTCCTGAAATTCTAAAATCACGTTTATAAACGCTCTGCGACGCTTTTTAAAATATACATTAATCCTTATAAAGACAACCGCAGCGAGCAGCGCCAACGTTTAGAAGATCAGGATAAACTGCAAGAATCATTTGGTGTAATGTGAAATATTTGACGGAACAAGATATCACGGAGCAACTGAAGCAAAAATAGACTATAAGGGTACAATTTATCCATTCCACGACAATAAAGCTTCATAACATAAAGCAAAATGCGTTGTGTACTGAGCATCAGAATAGTTAGTAATTTACATCTTTAATACATTCCCCACGGACTTAAAGGCCATATCCTAAATCATTATCTTACTAACTCAGCTAATTACACAGTTTTCAGCACGTTTCAAACAAAGGTTAAACGAGTAGGAATAAGTATTGCAAATGTCATTTATGCATCTATTTTGCTCCTGAATCATATTCATCTACAATTTATCTTTGAAGTTCAAAAAACTATATTTTGATACAACATACCTGGATGCATGACCTATACTTAACTAAAAACAAATCCCATCAACAATATGCTATGCAAAGATTTAGCATAGAAATGAGAGAAAAAAAATTCAGTGACAGCTATAAAAAATGTTGCTACAAACAAACAGCCAAAATTACCAACTATAGCTCAGCGAAGACACAATTGCACACTTTTCCTCCTTCTCACGATCAGAAGAAAAAGATAAAAGCAACATTAATAGAAAATGCTCACATTCCAAATAATTAGAATATAAGTTAACTCGCTTCAATGTAAACAAATGATGAAAGCGCTACGGTTCTGATGACATGCGCAATATTTACAGCTCAAAATATGAAAAAAGAAACAAGTATGTGAATGTTTCATGTCACTTGCCACAAGATATTTCTATAACAAAAAATGATTATCACAACTTCACCACATTTCTCCTCACGTAATACAAAAAGACACACCGCAATGGGTAATAAACAGCCATCTCTCCCTAGCAGATAAAGTAGCACATAACCAGCCTTTATCTACTTATTGCAAGGTATAAATGCAGTACTTAGAAAGTAGTAAGTTGTTATACGCTAAATAAATGCAAATCTTTGCTTAAACTACAGTAGAGCCAATCTCTTCAGTGAGTCTAATTGCTAAAACTTCTGAATTATGATCTATTTTAGTCGATTAGTCAAAGAAACATATTCTCATTTTATCTCATGAACAACAACTGCTTTTTCCTGCCAAAAATCTTAATCGTTACTTTCCAGTCTAAGTGGGAAGTACTAGTAAATTTAGCTAAAGGTACTGCTGACACTGAAATGCAATCAGTTAGCTATTAAAATAACAACGAAATTAACACAGAAGCAGTATCGACTAAACAAAATCAGTCATTTTTGCAAAACATATTAGCGAGCGACTGAGCGCCGGGTAACGAATCACTGCCAGTGGAACCATCGAAAACATTCATGACATCCATCGCCAAAATAAATGGCATGACAGTTTCGATTGATAAGCTGCCAATGAGACCTGAGAAAAACAGTTCAACTAGTACAGCTTGCTTGAACCACCGCATTGTTGGCAACAACAGCAATAAATGACTGTAACGTTCAATTGCATTGTACACCGTTGAAGCTGCTGCAGCTCCAGAAGTATTGTCATTTTCTGAAGCACTATCCTCACAATTCGTAATGCTCAAAGATAATATATGTTCATAGAGTTCCTGTAACGCTTGTGCATGTATTGCCCTTACACTCGCGTCCGTTGAAGAACTGGGGAGATCTGCAAAACAAACGGTTCTTGCCACTCCATTATACTGTTACTAAAATTATCTAAAACTGTACAATTTTTCAATGCAGAATATTTTATGACAGTAATACGTGTGTATTCGCAAATACGTAATATTCTACTCTTTTGTCAAAATCTAATCATATATAATTTATTCACCGTTCCATCGTCTAGACTTAACAGAACGAGATGGCCATTAAAACTAAATTACTGAAGACAATTGGCAAACCGTTTGCTGTAAATGAGATTAATTTCAGATATGCAAATTCCATGGATGACAACTTTAGCTCCTCGAATCGTTGCACGAGCTTAAACAAATAGCCAATCTGCTCATTCACTTCTTCAAACCGTTCCGTTTTTAGTTGACCTGCGAAAAACATTGAGAACACGAAATTTTTGAGATCTATTATACTAGAAGAATCCATATTTATAAATGTACCTATTCGTGAGCAAGCGCTTAAATGAGTACTCATAGCAGCCAGCATGTTTGAAAGACAAAACTGATTTGAACACTGCATTAAGCCAAGTATGAAGAGATCACACCACTTTAATTTCATCAGCTGTTCAAGGCAGCCAGGACTGAAAAATAAGCAAGAAGTTAAACTGATGTAATAAGGTAACAGTCACTATACTGCGTAACATATCACAGGTTTATAATACGGTAGCACTGCAGCATTCCTCTACTTTTTCAAAGATCTAGAACTTTCCAAAACGTCAATAATTACCAACCCTCTTGCTCGATCTCGTGTAACTAGGTTTAAATTAATCAAATTAAGCCGTAAAAAATGGTGCCGAGTAGTACACATTTGAGACTCAAAAAAAAAGATCACAACGATGAATTATATTGCACGTCAATCAACATTAATTAACATTAATGAAACTGCCATAAGAAACCGAACTGAATTTACTTATTAAAGTTGAAGGCGAGACATCTGATTGCATCGATATCAGTTAGCAGATCTGATATATATGGTGGAAAAACTTTTTTACTAAGTACCCTTTCGAAGAACAGTGAACCTCACTTAATGAATAATCGCATTGAACAATTATACAGATCTGTTTATATTTACAAAATAGTTCCTTTCAAATCAGCTAACTAGAAAAAAAAAAATGCTCATCGAAGTGTTACCGTGCAAATTTATTCATACAGGGATCAGTCACGGCGAAATTAACGTATCGTTAAGTGATGAACTCTGTTTTCAGAGTCTTAACATCTGCCTGAATCCAAATATGTGTTACGTGACTAAAAACGTTGGGTTTCTTACAGGAAAAAGTGATTAATAAGTAGAAGACAATAAAAGATATGGAATAAAAGTAGTTCGGCATGTGTAGCTCAACTCATGAAGCAAAAATAGCAAATCTAATACTTACTTGGAACTGATTGCTTTAAAATTCTTCATCCAGTGGACAGACAGAAATAACAGCCTGGAGGCCGTTTCACATATAAATTGTATATTTAATTCACTAGGCATTGGTTGTGGTACTGGTAATTCGAACTTTGCTCGCTGTAAATTCAAATAAAAGGAAAAATCTTTGAAGAAAATTATTCTTTAGAATTTTTTTTAATTGCACAAGAAATTTGAAGGAGATAAAATCATTTAAATCAGTCAGTGCTACAACGCAGGAGTAGAAAGCTGAAATAACTATACACTTTTTATTAATGAATTTTTTTCCTTCTTAAACCTAGTGAACAAATTCAGCTTAGGAGAATTGCTTATTTCTAGATCGGTAGCCGCATCACGGAGATAGAAACTATAAAGAG